GTCACTAGATGTTCACACAGTATAGCCATCTATTGATTCGCAAAGTAATAGGAACCTCGGAGTTCCTAGGAGGTATCAGCCATTTTCACCTTTGATCGTAGCTTACAAGTTAAAGTGAGTGGTTATTTCATGATCATTATTGTAAAATCGACACCAACAAAGAAGCAGGAATCGAGTGCGAATGAAAATGTTAAACATATTGATGTGAAGAAGTGCTTTTTAAGCAATAATATGCTCACATTGTTATGCAATCACAAAATTAATCTCCTAGCTGCTGCATTGGCGGCCCCTGAACGACGTCACGCCTTCGTGATCGTGCTAGTTTTACTTAACCCGCTGTGATCTGACACCTCCTCCTCAGCTTTCTTTTCAGTAGTTGAGTCTACTCGCAGAATTGCTGGAGCTTGACTGTATTTGGCTGGCATTGAAAAACGAAGAGGAAGTCGAGGAGACGTCACCTCGGCTCTCGTGAGGCTATCGTTTTGGTTTTTGAGCGAATTTCTGGCAGGGGAGGCGGGATAGGACTCGCAGGAGGAATTATTAAAGACGATTCCGTCTGCCACCGAGTGGGGCGCCACTACAACGGGAGACGTGGTGGAGCGCGAGTTGGGACGTGTGGCCGAGGAGTTACCGCTGCCTCCGATATCGACAATCGAGGCCAGGACAGAGGCTCGGGTGGCCTCACGCAAGTGAGAAATATGACGGTCCCAGGCGGTCTGGAAAAAGTCCTGACTCTCCCCTTGCAAGGCGGACACACAACAGGAGTCTTTGTGCCCACGGAAGGCCAGCAGCGCGGAACGTTTGAGGCTATTCGTGTCAGCATCCGTGCCCGACTCGTCACGAGGCTCCAACGCAGCTAGGCCTGTAGGCGGGGTGGGAGAGAGGAGGGAAGCAATGGTGTAAAAAGTGTATCCAAATGCCGATCTATTGATGACTTAGGCCATACAAAGTGCAGCGTTAGCGCGAAGCAGCCAAAGCAGGAAAGAGTCCATGGGCCAAACACGGCAACAGACAAACAGAATCTCCTGACTCTACTGCTAAGTATTTTGAATCGATGCTTAGGATGAAACGATAGACAATCATAACCAATTCCCATAGGATCTTTCTCCCACTGTCAATAGCACAGGAAACCTTGGAAAAAAATAATGTTAAAACGGTTCATCTACCTAAGGTGAAAAGCCTATAGGAGAACTAGTCCCCACTTTATGATTGAATGATATCGAACAGCTTCTTACAACCCATAAATTACTACAATTTTTAGAAGTTATATTCTATCAGCTAGAAGCCTTTTACAATCAGGGTGAACAAACAGAAACACATGAAGCACAGCTGATTATTGTTCTGGATGACGACGGTTAATCCGGCGAAAGGTGTTTGACCACTGTAGCCCTAGCTATTCGACTTCTATCATTGAATTAACATATGGGTTGCATACGAAAGGTCTTTCAGCGTTAATGAATTTGCAGCAAAAAAATTCCCAATGGGGAGACCCTATATTTAATTATTAATGAAAAACAACTCATGTATTAGTTCTTGTGGAGGAGATGCTCCTTATTATGTGCATCAACAACACCAAGGCAACGAAAAATGAAACAATTCAACCCCAAATCGACATTTATGTATGTTACCTCCAAAACGATTGCCTGCTAAATCCATGAGGCCGTCTCTCTATCGAACACGAGCCTTTTACCAAACAATGCACCGAATCTATTCGCGGGAACGTGGAGAATGCCAGTCAAAGGAGAAATTACACTCTCACAGTGGCCATTGGCTTGCTGTTAATCTATCTATAGGGTAAGGATGATTAAAAGATGGGGTTCGGCAAATTATTCACGTACCACTCACCACCACATAATGAGGTTCACTGAAAGGTTGCGATAATCTGATCATTTATTAACTAAATGTAGGTATTTATCTCTGTTTGAAGGGTTAAATAAAGTTGAGTGTTTACAATGCGCAATATAGAATACGAAGGAATAGAGTTCATTTTACCGAGAGGGCACGGAGTATTTGGTTATGCAAAAATTAAGTCGTCAGAAAGTACGACTGGTTTGCGTGTCAGTTGTTTTGCAATTCCACCACAAGTTTCCGTTTCAGCGCTAGATTTATTGTGGTGGTGAAAGGCGAAATGTATGATGGACAAAACTTGCATAAAAAGCGACAAACATCGCACAACAACAACAAACTACAGAGCAACAAAAATACAAAAAAGATAGATAGAGGGAAGTGGCAGTTCAATACAAAGCAGAGGCAGGTAGCCCATTTTTCCTTCGAATACAATTTCTGCCCAAATAAACACTAAAAAACTCCCATCAAGGGGAGAACTCAATTGCACTCCAAGAAGCCAGTAAACGATCTCCAGCGAAATGAAGGGTATGAATG